AATTTTGTTCTTTATGTTTGCGCTTCCTGATCAATCAAATGAAGTCACTTTTTACACCACCTTTTCTGTTGCTGATATTTGCGTCAGAATTGTGATTGTTGACTAAATGCGCCCCTACTACTAGTTTGCACTCACTAATAATTTTTTCTTACCAGATGATGCCTCTTTTTCTCCTTCTTCCTCGGAGTCATCAAATGAGGTCAGTGGTCTAACAAACGAGGAACCTATTGAGAGGACGCTAGAGTTGCGCTACACCAAGGTTCGAGATTATCGATACTTAAATGGCTGCTACTTTAAAATTTTGCTTCAGATAAACTTAGCTGCAAAAGTACGAGATGAAAAAAGTAAGTTGACTACTGTAAACCTTCGAATCTATCACCACTCTGCTACAGCATTAGACGTCGAAGCAGATACCACAGAGACTAAACTAAATGGTAGTTTGGAGCATGTTGCTATGAGCCCTCCCAGTCGCACTACATCTGCAGCGGTATGTTACGCACCTCTCTATTTAAGTCGGTGTAGAGAAGGCTTCAGTGACATGCTGATTTTTGAGATTGTCATGATGAGCTGGTGCTGATGTGAACCTAAAAGCATAGAATTAACGGAAGAGGTTTCAACGTAATAAAATTCTTGCAGCAAGCTAACAAATCTAAACCAAAAGATGTGAAATCCCCGGAAAATCCACAAGAATCTAATGACTCAGATGACGAGATTTTTGAACAGTGTGAGTTTTGTGGTGTCGTCAATTTCATACATTTTCTTGGAAGGGATTTCTCGTATCCATTCCTGTCGCTTTTCCACTGAAATAATATTTTGCTTTTATCACCATTACTTCTTCAGATTTGGAAAAATTGCGCGCGGGAAAGTCTATTGGAGAAACGAAAATCACAATAGGCGCTCACGAGAAAAGGTTTGTTTGTCGGTTTATATGCTTTTTTAAAGATATCCCTATGCCAGTCGTATGATTGCTATATTGAGCTTCGTCGTAAGTGATAGTGATGTTACTGAAAACGAGTCCAGCTCAGAAAACGAAACGTCTGATATATCCTGGAGCTCAAGCCGTAGCGACGGCGAAGAGGAGGCTACCACTGAAAGTAATGTAGTGTTCCTCGATTGTTCCTCAATCAAAATTGCTTTCTTGAAATGTTATTTGCTCATTTGTTCACTTAGCACAATTTACCAAGCACGTCATCAACTTAGATCTATACTCTCAGAAAATCGGCTATTAAAATCTATCGCGGATTCATTCAAAAGCCCTTCTGTGTTATCAAAGGGGAAAAAAGTATGTTTGAAGTTATTAATTGTGTCTTTAATTTTT